GTTTTAGTCCTACTTTGGTCTTGGTTTAATCCTGTTTTGGTCCTGGTTCAGTCCTGGTTTAGACCTGTTTTGGTCCTGGTTTAGTCTTGGTTTAGTCCTGGTTTAGTCCTGGCTCAATCCTGTTTTGGTCCTGTTTCAGTCCTGGTTCAGTCCTGTTTCGGTCTTGGTTTCGGTCTTGGTTTCGGTCTTGGTTTCGGTCTTGGTTTCGGTCTTGGTTTCGGTCTTGGTTTCGGTCTTGGTTTCGGTCTTGGTTTAGTCCTGTTTTAGTCCTGTTTTAGTCCTGGCTTAATCCTGGTGCAGTCCTGGTTCAGTCCTAGTTTAGACCTGTTTTGGTCCTGGTTTAGTCCTGGTTTCGCCTTGTTTTAATCCTGGTTTGGTCTTGTTTTAGTCCTGGTTTGGTCTTGTTTTAGTCCTGGTTTGGTCTTGTTTTAGTCCTGGTTTGGTCTTGTTTTAGTCCTGGTTTGGTCTTGTTTTAGTCCTGTTTTAGTCTTGGTTTAGTCCTGGTTTAGTCCCGTTTCGGTCCTGGTTTTAGACCTGTTTTAGTCCTGTTTCAGTCCTGGTTTAGACCTGTTTTAGTCCTGTTTCAGTCCTGGTTTAGACCTGTTTTCAGTCCAGTATCGCCGCCTTCTCCACCTTCACCTGTTTCCCTCCAAGGACAATCATCTTTGACCAAATGTATTCAGAGTGGAGCGTCCTGTCCCAGCGTCCGGATAAACCAGCGTGTCCCGTTTTAAACGTGCCAGTGTTCGGGCGAAGGCGACGACTCGGGGGCCGCGCTAAAGGTCACGGCGGGCGAGCGTTCCGATTGGCCGGGCCCGAGCGCGTGGGCGGGATGAGGTATTGAGCCGGACGACCGTAGTGACACGCGTGTAGGTGGATAATAGCATTGAATTTCGATGAGGAAGTTCCATATTACTCTGCCAATCAAAGCGTCGCCCGGCTGAACTGACGGCGCCGCGGCTGTCAATCAAACCTGTGTAATTATAATGTTACCGAGAATACTCACCTGACTACCTGACACGGGGGGTTTCATTACTTTAGCGCGGGATTTCAATGGATATAATTGAAAAATCGCAAAGGATGTCATTATTTAAGCGGCAAAACATCCTCGCCAGCCGACTAATCATGGATTTAAAGATCCTATATTACACAAAATTGACTCTTGTGAGCTTTAAGTCGTGTTATAATGATGTTACTTCCTCAAAAACAGACCTGGAGTTGTCAGATGAAGAAACGAGCGCATCACTGGGCCGTAAAAGAGTTAAAAAACAGCAGTACAGGTGTTCAACGAGGGTTAAACTGGTCTTAAAGGTCCAGTGTAATGTAAAATAATTCTTTTCACGTTGTATCTTCAGCACAATTTGAGTTTTGGAACATCCATTACACAATAGTTCTGAAATTTTACTGATTTCTTGGAGACAGTCACAGACCAAATGTGATAAAAAAAAAAAAAAAATAAAAAAAGCTGCATTTTTTTCTTTTAGCTCTTTGGTCTTGGTTGAGAACTAAAGCAAGTGTTTAGACTCGGTTTAGTCCTGGTTTAGTCCTGTTATAGTCCTGGTTTAGTCCTGTTATAGTCCTGGTTTAGTCCTGGTTTTAGACCTGGTTTAGTCCTGGTTTAGTCCTGTTATAGTCCTGGTTTAGACCTGTTAAAGTCCTGGTTTAGTCCTGTTAAAGTCCTGGTTTAGTCTGTTATAGTCCTGGTTTTAGTCCTGTTATAGTCCTGGTTTAGTCCTGTTATAGTCCTGGTTTAGACCTGTTATAGTCCTGTTTAGTCCTGTTTAGTCCTGGTTAGTCCTGGTTTAGACCTGTTTAGTCCTGGTTTAGTCCTGTTTAGTATAGTCCTGGTTTAGTCCTGTTATAGTCCTGGTTTAGTCCTGTTTAGTCCTGTTTAGTCCTGTTTAGTCCTGGTTTAGTCCTGGTTTAGTCCTGTCCTGGTTTAGACCTGGTTTAGTCCTGGTTAGTCCTGTTTAGTCCTGGTTTAGACCTGGTTAGACCTGGTTTAGTCCTGGTTTTAGTCCTGGTTTAGTTAGTCCTGGTTTAGTCCTGGTTTAGTCCTGGTTTAGACCTGGTTTAGTCCTGGTTTAGTCCTGTTTAGTTTAGTCCTGGTTTAGTCCTGGTTTAGTCCTGGTTTAGTCCTGGTTTAGTCTGGTTTAGACCTGGTTTAGACCTGGTTTAGTCCTGGTTTAGTCCTGGTTTAGACCTGTTTAGTCCTGGTTTAGACCTGGTTTAGTCCTGGTTTAGACCTGGTTTAGACCTGGTTTAGACCTGGTTTAGTCCTGGTTTAGTCCTGGTTTAGTGATGACATATTTTTGACTTGTATTATTTATTGAACAGAAACATGAAGAAACATCGATCAGGATGCTGGACTTTTGCGCCACACACAGACTGAACCAGGACTAAACCAGGACTAAACCAGGACTAAACCAGGACTAAACCAGGACTAAACCACGACGGATCCCAGGACTGAACTAGGACTAAAACAGAACTAGTAAAGTCACATCTGTGATTTCTTACTCGTACTCAAAAAAGCGCAATCGTACATTTTAATGTCATGATTGTGATACGATGTCGATACTTTTCAATTCGTATTCTGACGGATAAAATACACACAACACATTTTATTTTTGACTGGACTCATTTGAGCGTTTACGAATATTTATTTTACGCTCGGCTACAGACAAATATGTACACAAATATTTCTGAAAACTTTGATTTGAGAACAACATTTGACTCAGTTTAAAATCATGAAAACAGTAAATGGAACTTATGAATTTTTTGTACGCATTTTGAATCGAAACAGGAATCGCGATATATCACTGAATCTTTTTTTTTTTATTATATTCTCCGTGGAGAAGAGCAGGTGGCGGACCCCTCGAAGCCACGCGGCGAATCTGATATTAATCAAACGTGCTGTGAATATTGACCATTTAGGACCTCGTTAAAATGTTCAAATTATTATTATCAATTATCTTTTGGTTGAGCGAAACAATGTGGATTCTTATAATGACTGGAGCCAATTATCCCGGACTACATTTGTATAATCAGACCGAATTAAATCAAAGTTGCGGGGAACGGTCTTTTGTGGGTCCGGCTGTAACGTGTAACCGAGATCCCGGTGCTTTATTCACTAATTAAAGACAAATTGGTGCTAAAAGTAATTATTGTGATTAGCTGTGATTTGTCTGACTGTTCTGACCACAGATCCGGTTTAATGAAAATGATATTAATTAGTCGTGTTTTTCTACCACCAAGTCAGAGTGTATGTGGAGCCCCAACGGCAGGCCAGTCCTCAAATAACAGACTGAAAGGACTAAATAAAACTCTTTAAATTATGATTTTTATGGAGGTTTAGGCTTATAAATGGAGAAATGTTCTATATATTGTGTTACAGATGGTTTTATAGCCCAAAAATACCAAGAGAAACATTCATTCTTGGTCTGGTTTGGTCTCCAGGAAGATAGAAATAAAGAAAAGCGTTTGCAATTTGGATTTTTGAAGTGATGTCGTAGTGGGACCAGAAAGTCTCACAATGTTTTAAACCTTTAGACGTCAGAGGTTTTGTCCTAAAATGTTCGATTTTGACATCTTAGTCCTGGTTTAGTCCTGGTTTAGTCCTGGTTTAGTCCTGGTTTAGTCCTGGTTTAGTCCTGGTTTAGTCCTGGTTTAGTCCTGGTTTAGTCCTGGTTTAGTCCTGGTTTAGTCCTGGTTTAGACCTGGTTTAGACCTGGTTTAGAGTCCTGGTTTAGTCCTGGTTTAAGTCCTGGTTTCCTGGTTTTAGACCTGGTTTAGTCCTGGTTTAGACCTGGTTTAGTCCTGGTTTAGTCCTGGTTTAGACCTGGTCCTGGTTTAGTCCTTGGTTTAGTCCTGGTTTAGTCCTGGTTTAGACCTGGTTTAGTCCTGGTTTTAGTCCTGGTTTAGTCCTGGTTTAGACCTGGTTTAGACCTGGTTTAGTCCTGGTTTAGTCCTGGTTTAGTCCTGGTTTAGACCTGGTTTAATCCTGGTTTAGGCCTGGTTTTAGACCTGATTTAGTCCTTGTTTAGTCCTGGTTTAGACCTGGTTTAGTCCTGGTTTAGTCCTGGTTTAGTCCTGGTTAGGGTTAAGTCATCCACTAAAATTCATTTATATTTACATAAAATAAATGTTGCTTTTGTGGCAAATATTGTTACGTGTTTAATTACTGTTAACTAATCAGGTTTTTTTTAATCAAGTCTCACTCCTACTTTTAAAACCAAGTATTTCTGTTGTTACTTGAGAGATATAACAGCTGCGTAACACATTTTGTCATGTATTACCTTTGTTTTTACGAAAATAAAGTCTGTTTTCAGTCTGGTACTGGTATCGAAATCTGTATCGGAGCTGGAAAAAAAAAAAAAAAAAAAACTGAACCAGTGCAGTAATGTTTTTTTTTTTTTTTTTACAACAGCTTTAGAAAGTGGCGCCATTATCCAACCAGAAAGACGTGAGTGTTGTCAGCTGAAAAAGGCTTTCAGACGTAAAATTATGATGATTAATAAGTTTGTGGAGCCGATCCCAAACAAAAAGTGGATAAATTATTAATTCACAAAGGAGGAGAAGGAGCTCGAGGACCAGAGTTTAACAAATACTGGAGAAGTTATTTTAAATTGTTAACAAATTGAACTATATAAAAATAAAATTGCAGTCTTGAACAATAACAATCCAGGGTTCCCACTTTTTTTCACTGACAAAATTTCAAAACTTTTTCATGACCAGGTGAATTTTCCAACATGTGATCAGATTTTTTTAGGGCTAAATCTCAAATCTTAACTCTTTCCACTCACTTTATGGTTTGGGATTATAGTTTTTTAACGTTCAAAACGCTCAGACATACAGAAAAAAATCAGAATAGTTTAATGAGCGAAAGACATACTAAAATCCCATGACTTTTCCAGGATTTCCATGACCCTGGGAACCTGTACAATAACTTTAAAGCAGATGAACAGATGTCTAACTCATATTCTCGTGTGTTTTTGTCTCACCATGCCCGGGTTGGTGACGATCATGCCTTTACACTCCTCGGCGTACTTCTGCCACTCCAGCTCCTCCCACTGAAGCATGTCCGCGATCTCCTCCGCCGGGACCAGAGCTTTACTGCTGCGGAGGACGTACAGAAGAACCTGGTGCATGGACAGAACCTCCTTACCCCCGTCTGAAACACACACACAGACGTTTACAGACCGTGGAAGATAAGAGCGGGTCTGGTATGGATGGTTTTTCAGCCGATATCCGATATTTGACAGGCGGTTGTGGCCAATAACTGATCTTCTGCTGATACAGATATTAAAAGTCTGTGTACTAATTTTTGTTTTTTTTATGTTTATTTAACCAGGAGGTCCCATTGAGATTCAGAATTTCTTTTTCTAGAGAGACGTGGCAGCAACGCAATTAATACAAAACAGTAAAATCACAAAACATCACATTATAAAACCTACAAAATATCACTGTATTATTCCATTATTACTTCATATATACTGATAATAATAAGGCTTTGTGCTTTACAGACTTGTCAGAGCCTGAGCGCTTCACTGAAGGTCTATTCATACTTCATGAGAACATAAGAACTTTGTTCTTGCACCACGAGCTGGCTGAACAAAAATGATGTCATTTTGTTCACCCAGTTCCTGTGGGCAGTTCTTGTGGTTTGTTCTCAACTCCTCAGCTCAGGAAAATTCTGTTTGGCAGTTTGGCAGCGCCGTCCCACATCTTTACTCTGATTGGTTATTTATGTGGGTGTGGTTTATCTGCTTCCTCGTCGACGCTGAGCAAAAAAAAAAAAAAAAAAAAAAAAGGATGGTTTTGAGTCACAGCTGGAGGAAATGGTGAGAAAATACAAACATCTGTACAACACGACGCTCAATGACGATAAAGACGCCAAATAAATAACGAAATTCATAGAGGGAGGTCGTGGACATTCTAGGCTTGGACGAAAATCAGTGTAGAAAAGTTCGGAGTAATCTCCAAGACCAGTTTGCGAAAGCTAAAAGGCAGGTCACCTGAAAAAGAATGACGGCAGAGCGAGGGGGCGGGGCAGTTCGACAGAAGAACATCTTCTGAAGTATGAAACGTCAGAGCCCAAACGAACTTTGTTCTCATTTTTATCACCTCGAGAACAAGAACAAAGTTCTTATGTTCTTATGAAGTATGAATAGTGGTGGTAACACTGGCCCCTCTGACCAACACTCAAGTGTTCATTCAGACATAAGCAATGTGGGTCAAGTGTCTTGCCTAAGGACACAACAGCTCTAACCACTGTTACTGTCTCTGTGTACAGATAAATGGTATAAGCAGCTCTTGAGGTCAAAATAAGTCTCTTGTGTAATGACTGCATCGAATTATAATTTATTTTCTTGTTTTATTGATATTGTTAGAATTCTAGTTGCTGTTGCTTTATCACCACTGCAAAACTCCACTCTGGTTTTGTTGTTGTTGTGAAAAGCTCTTATAAACTCATCTCTGTGAATGATTCGGACACTCTGAATGTGTTAGATAAGTGAGGAAAAACTCTAGACCACGGCAAACTGTTTAAAATATAAAAAAAAGACAGAAGTAGGTCATTTTAGACACAGTAAAAATCAGGTACAATGAATTTAAGAATTGAATTTAATCTGGATAAGGTGCATTGTGTTGAATAAGAGCTCGTTACTTTTTCCCAATCAAAAGAAAAAATGTAGAAACTGGACGCCGCATTGAAAGTTCATTATGCTGAAATCTTGGAGTGTATTTTACAAAGCACAATTCGAGCCGAGCCATCAACAGTGGGGTAAAGTGGACCCGTTTAAAAGGAACAAAAGCTTTTCACCGTGGCGATAATTGATTTAAAACACAAAAGTCTCAGTTTTAGCGGCGCCAGTTCGAGAAATTAAACTATTATTATTGGAGAAATTACTTCCATTGGAGCCTTAACAAAGCTCCATTTGGCTGGATCCTTGGTCTGAAAGCAAAACCAACGTCGAGTTTTGAATGCGGTGTCTGTCTATGAGCAGGTGAGAAATGCAAGGTTATTCTGGTTAACAAAAATTCACAAAATAACCGTCATGATACTCAAATTTCAAACTATTTCCAAAGAATGTGATTTTCAACATATAATGGGCCCATTTAATGCTTTTTAAATGATTGTATAATGTTGTTTTCTCGTCACAAACAGACCTGGAGTTGTGTTTTATTTTGTTTCATTCACACATGTTTAACACAAAAACCCTGTAGATTTAAGGTGAGTTCTTCTCTCAAATAGAAAACATGTTGTTCCACCTTGTGATGTCATACGGAAATACAGGAAAACTCCACACACCTTCACTAGAATCATTTGAATGATTTCAGGCCTGGAATTGCTGATCTCGACTGAACTAAAAGATAAAAATTAGGGGTGTAGCGGTGCAAAAATCACAGTTCAGTACAGGTTCGGTTCATTTTGGGAAAAAAAATGCTTGTTGTTCATTGTGTTTTTATTAAAGGGCCTCGGTCAAGCAGAAGTAAACAACAAGGCCAAAAATTGAAGTTAATGCATCTGATATAAAAATGTATTGAACAGATACATATGTACTCTAGTTTATGAAACTGTTGACCTTTTTTCTGTACCATTTTTGGTTCTAAAGTTCCATATGTTTTTAAACAGACCATGTATGAAACATGGAACAAAAATTATTTCCCAAATTTCAAAAGACCTGAAAATCATGTAAATAAATGGATGTATTTCATCATATCTTGTGTTATTCCATCTTTGAACTGTTGATGAAGGTACAGGATTTTTCAAAAAAAATGTATTTAAAATGATAAAAATTTGCTTGGAAGGACTGACATATTTTATAGAAATAGTTTTTCATTTTGAAGAAATATTAAAGTTTTCAGAAGAAAAAACTGACAAATGATGTAAAATCCTGCACCTTCTACTTGTTTGTACAATTTTCCCTCCGTTACTTTTCCCTCCGTTACCATGACCTTTCTTAATAAAAAATCTCATGAGTCAAAAAGTAAGAGGTTTTTCAACCTAATCTTGTACCATATGGTAGAAAACTATATGAAGCAAATATTCAAACCAGTTTGTTAAGGATATGTAAGTGAGAACCAAGAGTTATCACTGTTTGGATTTATTGCCCAAAAAGTGCTGCATATTTCATTCCCTCCGTTACCGACATGAGTTTTTTAATTTTTTGTCAACAACTTGAAAGAATCTCACAGGTTTAACTTGACCCTGTTGGAGTGTAACTCTTTCCTACATTCTGATACTTTACTTATTTCAATAGTCCCTCTAGAGCACAGGTGTCAAACATAAGGCCTGGGGACCAGATCCGGCCCTCCAAGACCTTTAATCTGGCCCTCGGCTGATTTTCTACTAAAATATTTTTAATTAATATATTCTATTAAAATATTGGTAATTTTCTGCACCGCTTAGCATACCAGCGTCTCCAGCGTCTCTGTACGTGGCCCCTCCCACCAGAGCAGCACACAAATGAAGACTTGTCTCTTTCCAAACGCTCTTAAAGGACGATCGTTTTGACTGTTGACCGTGACACCCTCATCAGAAAAATGTCCAAAAATGAGAAAAGTGGAGCCAAGTGCAGGATTTTCCAAAAAAAAAATGGACTTGTTCCAATTTGCAAACAAGTTAATGTTAAAACATTGTGTTGAAATTGCATGCAAAGAGTTCATCAATTAAAAAAAGATTTCTGTAATAGATTTGTGTTTCTCTGCACAAATATTTGAACTTATTGCTATTTTTGGGGTATATATGCTATGAGTTTTCTGATCTGGCCCCTTTGGGATCAAAGTAGGTTCGATATGGCCCCCAGTCCAAAAGGAGTTTGACACTCCTGCTCTAGTTTCTGAATAAGAGACATTTGAATGTCAAAAAATCTGCCCGTTTCCTCTGTTACCACTTGACCGGACCCTAAACCAACAATTTGTTTTGACATTATACAAAAGGGAAAATTAAATAAATGCAAAGTGCTGCTTGGTAAAACTAATAAGTTACATAAAATATTCTTAAATAAGCAACAAATGTATGAAATATTATAAAAAATAAATTCCTTGTAAACGGTAAACAAAACAGTTCCAGCATGAACTTTTACTCAATCTTCAGATTTTTGGCCAGAAAAAAAAACAAATTTGTCCACATTGTCTGCTGTAAGTGCAGATCTGCTGCAGGTAAAACGTCCCCAGTGGGTGAAAATAAACTTTCTCTAGGCTCAGAGGTCGCGGGCATGTGGGGAAGGAGGGTGGAGCGAAGATTCGGTGCCGGCGAATGGTGAAAGTGAGAACTGCGGCGCGACGATCATAGTTTTGCGTGGGTTTGGAGGGACGTTGTCAAGTCGGGGGCAGTTGTTGTGAAGGTGGTCGCTCTAACTATAAAAGCGCTGCCACAATCACGGACGAGTTCCCTTGTAAATATTAAAGAGCCGAGTCTCCGTGTAGCTGCACATGTATTGGAGGAATGTAAACACACACAAAATTGCGCGAATTCACTCGTGCACAAACCTGCACCGACCCCAACGTCCCGTACAGAAACACATGAACCATTACACCCCTAGTAAAAAGGGAGTTGAAATCTATCGCTTCATGACATCACAAGGTGGAACAGAGCATTTTGAGCTTTAGAGATGTAAACAGACTAATAATAAAGAATTAATCAAACATGTGAATGAAACAAAACACAACTCCAGGTCTGTTTTTGAGGATTAGAACACGACTTAAAGGTCACAAGAGTCAATTTTGCGTAATGTGGAACCTTTAAATCATGGTAATTTCTTTTCTATTCCCATGTGGCTTTATATCTGTGTGATCCCTCAATGGTCCAGGTCCAAACCAGGTCCAAACCAGGTCCAAACCAGGTCCAAACCAGGTCCAAACCAGGTCTAAACCAGGTCCAAACCAGGTCTAAACCAAGTCTAAACCAAGTCTAAACCAAGTCTAAACCAGGTCTAAACCAGGTCTAAACTAGGTCCAAACCAGGTCTAAACCAGGTCTAAACCAGGTCTAAACCAGGTCTAAACCAGGTCTAAACCAGGTCCAAACCAGGTCTAAACCAAGTCTAAACCAAGTCTAAACCAAGTCTAAACCAAGTCTAAACCAAGTCTAAACCAAGTCTAAACCAGGTCTAAACTGGGACCAAACCAGGTCTAAACCAGGTCTAAACCAGGTCTAACCAAGTCTAAA